CTTCTGGGAAATGTTCTGACAGTTCACATCATGCTACTATTCTATTACTGTAATATTCTGTCTTTGAGCTGGCTTTTTTTATTCTCTCTTAGGCTTTCTTCTGTTCTATCCATACCCCAGATTTACTAGTCTGTATCTACATAGCTCTGTGTAAAGTATTAAAGCATCTCAGAGAAGGTGATACTTTTACACTGGGACTTGGAAAGCTGTTTCTTCTGCATCAATCTGTGCTTAAAGGTTGTTAAATACCTGCTAGCTAGTTGAGTGTTTAATACTTGAAGAGTTAATGTTCATCTATCTGTTTATAAGTTATTCTGGTGTTACGACAAACACTACAGAAAAGCCTGGGAGAAAATTAATGCTTCTATTTTAAGACCGTATTCAAACATGGTGGATGAAAAAAAAGTTACAGGGCCTTGCATTGAGCAACAGGAAAAGAAAATTAAATGTGGAATTGCTGCTTGTTAGCTAAGCAAAGCATGCAGTCTGCACCTTGTGTAAGGCAATTTTGGTATGACATATTTTGGAAAAAGAGTATTATGTTACCGTGTAATAAAAGGTTTTGTCATCTGTCATATACACTATAAGGCTGAATTGAGCTTACCAAGCAATTACTGGCCTTTTTTAACTTTTTAATCCTTAGTACAGATTGAGAGGACTCTTTCCCTTTGCTTAGACAGGGAAAAGCTGGAAACAGCATGTTCTATTAAAGAGTACAGAAGTATGGAGGAAATTGCAATTATATGAATTACATGGGTAGCAAATTAATTAGCCTTCCTTTTAATTGACTATATCTGTATTTACATTTGCGTGCACAGTATCAGAAGTGCAAAATCCCATCTGTTAATTATCTGCATAAAAATGCTCTTTAACTATGTGACTTACATGAATAACTCATTGCAAAGACTCTAAAAGGAGAAGGATGTTAATTTAAGGAATTGTAAAAGCCATGGTGGTTGTCTTGAAACAACATGAGTTTCTACAACAGTTGTCTTTTCATAACCCTCTTTAATCTAGTTGGAGGAAACCTAATATATCTGCACTTACATCACAATATTAAGTGCATGTCCTTATGTTAAGATTCCAAACAACACATTAAGAGTTAAGGCATAAACTGTTCACTTAAGGAGCTGTAACTGCAAAAAAAACCAAAACAGAGACAAAAATACTAAATTTTCGAAGTTTAGTACACAAACCTTGGTTTTTAAATGTTCTTTTGCTCATTTTTGTACAGGACTATAGGGTTGTATCCTGATGCTTCCAGATTTGGAATTTTCTTTGCTGCTGTTCTAGCGTCTCATATAATTGGTGAGCTACTAACACTAGTTATACTTGGCATGGTTCAAAACCCAAATATAGTCCAAAGTGGAGTGGTGCTACTTAATTCAGCTGGTGTGATAGTGGGAACAGGACTAGTAAGGTAAGAAAAAACTTATTTTGTTATAGTGTTAGTGTTAAAATGAACTACCTAAAGAAGAGTTTTCTGAACATTCTGTATTGCAGAAGTCCAATAATGCACAGGTAGTAATGGAAAGCAAGTGCAACTGTGCTCCTTCAGAGGTAGAACTACCTAATCTTGTTAGACCTTGTAATAGATACAGAAACCAGACACTTAATATCTCTAGATATCAACAAAGATATTGAAGATTTCCCCCACTTTTTGCAAATAAATTGAAGATAAAATGGAGCAATTAATATCTATAAGCTCACATGAATTCTTTCACTGAAGCTGACATTATGATGTGAAATGCTGTCCTCATTAAAGCAGCCTACCAAAAAAAAACATTCATACAGCTTTTAGTAACTGCTGAAACTTATCAGGCACTAAACATTGATAATGATGGTTTAAAAAAGCAGTTGTTCTCAACTATCTTACTAGTGTTATTCTCCAGTTTAGCCTGTAATTTTTTCAGTCACTTTTTCTACCTGTGCAGATTGAACTAAATGAAAATAATAAATAAAAAAGTAGTATAGTAAATATGTGGGAAATTTGTGATCCACTTGCTCTATTACTGTGCAAATAAATGGTTTTGCACTGTAATTGCATGAAGTTTGAACAGTTTTCCCCTTGTAATTGTCAATAGTGAAATTGCTGGGTTTTTTTTGAGGAACTTAACCAAAGTAAATGTGTAATTGTCAAATGAAGTTTTCTTTATATGTGAGCAAGTAGGAGATGCTCACCTGAGTCCCTCCCAGTGAAAATGAAGAAAGCCCAATGATGTCAAGTTGTCCTCAAGAAAACCGTATGAGTCTTCACAATGTTGATAATGCTTTGTCTCTTCAAAGTAGATCCCAGCTAATACTTATCAAATAAAGCTAGGTTAATGTCTATTTTTTTGGTCCCTGCCTAATTTCAGGAAGTTGTACGTTTACAGTGACAAGACAGTTATTCCTGCTACCATAGTCTAATGCCTTAATGATAACTTTTAAAAGCATTAAAATGGTTTTTAACCTTATTTTACAGTAGAGACAATGCTAATTAATATTTTTGATTAATCTTCATAGGCAGTGAAGTATGTTAAAAATAGCATTGAGACTTGGGTTGCTGGGTTTTATTCTGTTAATTATTTTTTTTTAATTATAAAGTCTTGAAGTATTTTAGGTCTTTCTAAATGTTTCTTCTCACTATTTTTGCTTCATTCTTGTTTTGTTATTACTGCTCCAGTGAATTGCTATTCAATGTTTTTTGGTTTTGAAGGTGGAGGGAGGGGGTGGTGGTTTCTTACTTTGGAAGCAATACATTTTGGCAACTAAGGTTTATACTGGATCTTGTCATTTTCAGTTTATCATTGCAGTGTGAACAGCAAACCACCATAGAATTATTTGTGACTGTCCATAAACATGTCAGGGCTGAATGTTATGACACTGTACCAAAGCCAGAGACAGCCTTCACAGTTGTCTTCTCACTTAGCTCTAAAAATGGACTTTATGTTTGAAAAACCTACAGGTACAGACAAGAACTGTTTCTGTCACAGGCTACAACCAATGATGAGAGCTTGTTTTCATTTGGGGGCTCTTGGAATTTAGCAAAAGCCAGTTTAACGTCTCTGTTTCTTTAAGGACCATCGAAGAAATGCCAACACCTTTTAAACTACTCAGTTTTCTTACCTTTCAAAAATACACCAGCGAAGTTCTTATAGTCAATGAATTTTATGGCTTAAACTTCACATGTGGTAAGTGTTCAAAAAAAGAAGTCCATTATAAATAATTTTAATGAGGTGTTGATGCTTATTTTCCTTCTACATACGTGTATCTTGATAAAATAAAGATAACTTTTGAGTTGTTAAAAAATGTTTATTAATTACTAAAGACTATAATGCCTCGTCAGCAAGCTAGACCAGAGTTTGATTCTTTTGTTTCAACCATTTCTCATTCTTTCACAGTTCTTCATCTTTCTCTTCTTCACCTGTTCTCTTATCCTGTCTTTGGGGGCATTTTGGAAATTAAGTTTGTAACAGGCTGCAAAGTTTTTTGGAGCAGTGTTACACAAATAGAAGATTAACAGAATTGCACAATTCAAACATCAAACATCAGTGCAGGGAATACTGACAGGTAACACCTGACCAGATGTTTCTTTTAATAGTAGTGAGGCTTCAGTTCAAGTACTGAATAATACCAGTAATAGTAGTGAGTCTTCAGTACCATGTTACCATGGTACACATTGAGCAGCTGTCAGGCTGTGCTTTGCTGGTTGTGAGCAAGATAAGCAGCAAAACATTAGAATCAATCAGGTTGTCAGTGTTGGTAGCTAACATCCATTAGTGGGGGTAAAACAGCTTTGGATCTATCCTAAGATAGGTGGGGTTTTGTAGCCAGGTGTCTCTGCTCCTCTCCAAGGCTATATATTCTGTACCCATTAATCTCTCTTACCCTCTCTATTACAAGAGCACAAATAGCAACTGCTGGAAAACAAATCCATGACTTTGTTAGTACTAACAAACAGCTCATTTTTAATGTGCCCTTCAGACAGTCACCATTTCTTGAATTTTGGAACCACTCAACACATCTGAAGCCTCTAAGTCTACCACATGGGGCACCTTGCTTCTTGAGGCCCTTCCAGATAATGTGTCTGAAAAGCCATAAATCTTTGTTTGGCGTAAACAAAAGACAGAGCTCCTAGTGACCCTTTTTTCTTCCCTTCAAAAAGTGTGGCATAGATTAACTGCAGAAACATACGGCTTCTCTGTTGTTATTCCAAAGTGCTGACAAATACTGCTGTGGGTATAGTTAATCATTGAAATTACATCAGGGCTTGGTGTATTAAATGCGTGAGATAGATAATGAGGTCTGAGTTTTAATTTTATTGACTTATCTACTAAAGAAACTATTTGTTTCTTTTGACAGGTGGAGCCAACAGTTCCACTGCAAATAATGCTGCATGTATTTTCTCTCAAGGCATTCAGTTCATTGACAAAAACTTCCCTGGTGCCTTGTCCCGGTTCACAATCGATTTCCTAATACTCTATGCTTTTCTACCGGTACTTGCCATTATAGCAATTCTAAGCTTCAAAATAAGAGAGAGAATTATTGACAGGCAATAAAAAGATAGGAGTTCCAACGATGTCTAATGCTACACTTGTAACTTTATTATGGCCAAAGGCTTAAATTATTGGATTTTAGATAGTACTTAAGTGATTACACATTCATCTCATGTTTGTTTCCATCTTGAAAAACAATGTTCTCTTAAGAGTGTGACTGGCTTCCAGATATTGGTATTCCCACTCCTGTCCCAGATCAGCCATAATCAACAGTATTTCATGTTTTAAAGGATTTTTTGAATTTAATTTTGTTAGCTGTTGCTGACAATTTCTAACAACATAGCAGTGGTGCTCTAAATTTTTTCCTCATTATTTTGGTTTTTAACTATTACCAATAAGCAGAGGGGTACAACTGCTAGTAAATCTCATTTCGAGAATTGTATTTTAAGTCCCATGCTTTGTTTGGATACCATTTTAGGGATTTGTAGAAAGGAAACAAACCAAATACGTGTAAAGACAGAATGAAGAGGTCACTCCACTTTAATCTTACACACACTATACAACCAATGAGTGCAGATCTTGTAGCAGTATCAAAGTTACCCAACATGTTTTTGCCTTGTGAATGATGGTAAATCAGTGAAGACAGTTATTTATATCTATTCCTTCTTTCAAGTTCTAAATCTTGTTTCGAAAGCAGTTTGTGAATTACTAGAAAACAAATTTGTTTAATAAGCTTTTGGTTTTGTTCAATAAAATGTCAATTAACTAGGCAAAAATCATAAAAGTTGTTTGTCAGTTCTTGGAAGCAATGTCATTTTTGTCTTCGGAAATTATTCTTGTGGGCCTCTCAAAATTGAAAGCATAAGAGACACAGAATTCCTACATTTTGTAACTTATTTTCATGTTCAGTGAAGAAATTATTTTTTGCAGAGGGATTGCTAGAGATTTCTTCAAGTATATTCGTATCTTAAAATTCCATAATTACGTAATTAGTTTAATATGATAGTTTTGAGATGAGGCACTTCGTAATGAAGAATTTTAAATCCAATCCTCAAGGTAATGCAATATTTTCACTTAAGTGTGAGGCCAAGATTTTTTTCTAATATCTTTATGTGTAACATTCGGAGATACAAAAGTTTTATCAGAAAAACACTTGGTGAAAAAATATGTTAAAAATAACAACTGACATTAAAGAGCTGGAAAGACACCACATTAAAACTAATGTGGTCTCTCCCATTTTTACGTGCATGTAGGGTTGATCCGGTCTGCCAAGTGACTGTTCAGACATCTACCCTCTGACAAGTCTTAGCTCTCAAGAGACTCCTCTGGCTTTATTCTAGATTGTCTTGTGTATTCTCAAAACACTCAGTCCATCTCATACTAGGGAGGGTGTCCACGGACAAAAACCATACCTAGTTTACGCAAGGATTTCACAAACTTAGGCTGAATGTGAATCAATAACAGTTCCAGCACTAGCCAAATATCTGTCAAATTAATTAGATGACTTCCTAGCATTTGAATATATGACAGAAATGTCCATCTTCTAAACTCTGTGCAAAGTTATTACAACATTTTACTTTCCAAGATATAATTCCTGTATTAAGCTATATGATTTTGAAACAGAGATCTGGATCCAGGTCAAAGAATGTTTTACACTTTATTCTGCCAGGTTTTTATTTATTTATTCAAATACATCAAACAATGAAGCAGGTATTTCTTAAGGTTTACTTTTGACTTATACATGCAAAGAACTAGAAAAAGATGTCCACCACACTCTACTACAGTTTCATATTTTGGGTGTGAAAACTTGTTTATATTTAAATACATGTTTAGGGCAGAAGTATTTACAAATAAACCAAATAATGTGTTATAAAACAGGTAGAACTGACTAATGCCAGTCTTTATGTTCAAACCCATCTGTGAGCAATCTAGAATTCTTGTCTCCCCACTTTTTAAAACTGTGCCAGTGCCGAGATTCACAAATTTGGACTGAATGAACAGCTCTTTTTATGAAAAATACTAACAGGGATGCTTAATAAATATTAATTTTGTAGTCTGATAATATGCATTTTCAACTGCATCAGATGAAATTGCTAGTGTAATGTTAAAATACTTTTGTAAACATTGTTAAACTGAAGACACCTACAGCAGCTCATCAATCGGAGTCAAAATCCATTTCTTTCCAGGATTTAGAGGCATTTCTTTTGTACTGTTCAAGTTCCTAAAACAGAAACATAAATACATATTAAACTAATCTTCTCATTACTAAAAACTGCAAAAAATTTAAATTTTTAGTTGGCTAATTTATGTATAAAAACTTTTCAATGTAGAAAAAATGTGCTACATTTATATTTAACAAAATTATACTAAAAGTGCTATAAATTTTGTCACATTTGCTCTCATATAGGGAGAAAGATTTTATTTATTTATGCCTAGATACTTTACTGGAAAGAGAAAATTTTGTCTCTTATCTTAGACATTCAGATTGAGAAACCAGGCTCCCTATGAACATACAGTAATATAACAATACACGTTTTAAAAAGAGAAACCACAACTACCCATCAGAAACTGCTGTTTCACGCACATTAAGGTGCTGCTGTTTAGTGGATTCCAAGTTAGCATCTGCATGTAAAAATGCAAACCCAAGGTGGTTATTAAAATTATCTGTCTTTTAGCTAGATTATTAAAAACAATCAGAGGCTTAAATTGTGGAGGTATACAGCAAGCAAATTAGGTATGAAAGATGAGGCAGGCTATATTTTGAGGTCAGCGGAGTACTAGCAAGGCAGACAAATGACCTCACTTCAGTCAAATGTGCTACTGGGAACTTTGAAGCCTGTAATAAGAGGTTCTATCAGCATTACTAAACAATAGTTTCCTCTGCTGAATTTTATGTAGTGGTGTGTACTGTCAGGAATTATTTCTGAAGTTTTTTTTAAGAAAAAAAATTAATTTAGGAAGCACTACAATTGCTTTTCGTTTATTTAAAAGTAAGGCTTGCAACCTATTTACAGAAAGATGATGCTCTAATAAGGTACTGCTAGACCTAGGTGTGTACTGCTTGCAAGACAAGAAAAGTCACCATATTTTATTTAGATCAGAAAAGAGGTGGACATAAACTAGTGATTAGAATAAATGTAGTGCAGACCCTCAAAAGTGGACATGTATTTTATGATTATTATTTTTATTTTAATAGAATAGATGATATTAATATACAGAATTCTATATTTAATAGAGTATTTTAATATGATAGAGGAAGGGAGGTCTTGCTGTAGGTATGCAGGTACCAGAACTGACAAAAATAACAAAATTCCCACCTGGTGAATTTAATATTAGTATTAACTCTCAATCCAGCACAGAGGGAGGAAGAAGAAAACAAAGGTCAGAGCAACAAAGCAATCAATTGTCTTAAGACTGTATGAAAATAATAAATGAAATTTTCTCTCAGGAAGTAACTTTAGCAGCTTTGTCAGCAGTGCAGTTTTCAGAAAACAGATGTATGAACAGTAAGAAGATTTTTAGTTAGTGCACATTCTTCCTGATGCTTGCAGGAGTCTAATTTTACAGTTTTTTAACTCAATAGTTACATTAGAACATACTGTGTCTAGTCTAAATCTAGTAAGTCACATTATTAGATACAACTCCAGTAGTACTGAGCTGTTCTGTGTCTAAGCTGGTCTTTACTCAGTATTTTCACTCCCTTATTATTAATATAAAGCAATTTTGATCTTGGAACATACAGATCTGTTGGAAACTTGCCAACAGTTAGGAATAGAAAGAATACTGTGATATTTTAAGGAGCACATGTAACCTGCTTTATGCTAAGTAAGTAATTTCAATTGTAACAACTTTCTGAAAGGCTTCAGGAAGGGGTAAAATTAGACAATGGAGTTTTACATATAACGACAATACTGTCTGGGGGTCATGTCTACAGGTGTTGGCTAAATAATTAGCCTTACAGACTTATCATCTGACTAAACTATTTCAAGAGAGAGGCAGATAATTTAGCAGAATTTATTTTGCTGTAATTTTAGCTAGCCTAGAAAGCAATTCAGTGTAAAGTCAATTCAGAACAATACAAAAACGCAAATTGTCAAACCACAGCATCTATTAGGATTGTACAGCTTTTCCACTACATACACAAGTACAGAACAAAATTATAAAAATTTGGTTTGGATGTATATCTAGATAAGGCCAACATTTAAACAATGAGCAATGAAAGAAAAAGAAAAATTAATTAAATAGGAGGACATTTACCAAAAAAATAATCTTTAACGAATCTCAGTGATTCAGGAGGAAAAATGCTGTCAGGAAAGTACACTTTCTTCGTTTATGTGCAAAACAGAAAGTAAAATACATCCTTGTAAGTCAGAAATATAATGGAAAAATCTTTCAAATACTGTTTCAAGATCACTCCAGAGACCCTCTTGGAAAAGGGCACCTTCCTGCTCTTAAAGTTCTATACTACAAACCTAAGTAGAATTGTAGAATATATTGCAATGATGCAATCAGCTAAGAGGTCTTCTCCCCAAAGTGAAAGAAGGTCCTGCAAAAGAATATGTCTTAAAGTACTCCAAAATCTTCATGCTAGCATTATACTATGTTTGTTTTGTGGGTAGCAAGTGTAGGGGGCAGGGATCAGATTTACGAAGAAATAACAATTGCAATTTAAATGTGCTTTCAGAGTGCTCTGAATGTTTAAACATTATTAGTGCTAGCAACTTATCACAGATATCTCAACTCTGGGATAAAGTGGATTTAAATTTTTTTTAAGCCTTAATGCTTCTGTACTTCTGTGTTTCTGTAAATTCTTCATCTGTCAAATGGGGAAGATCACACCTAATCTCATAAAGGGACTGGGAAGAAAGACTTAAATGATGTTTGTGAGGCACTCAGATAAGATAACATTACCACACATTCTCAGAGGAAAAAAAAATTAATACTTTTGTGTTCATTGAAGTGTCTGAATGGCAGGTTGAGAAATAAGGTACATAAAGAATAAGGATGATGAAAAGAAATACTGAACAATTGAGTTGAGACATCAGCAAAATAGTATATGATCATGTAATTAAAGACAATACCATAATGTCTACAAACAAGAAGGAAAAATTAAGATTGTAGGAAAAGCCTTAATTGTTGCATTTCTTCAGTTCTGAGTGACTGATATGACTTTACTTTTCATGCAGCTTCTTACTAGAAGTGCCCTCAATCTGGAACATGGTGAAAATAACCAACTACTGAAATACTGATTAAAAATCTTCAGCACCTGGTGCTCTTTAAGTTGGTTTAAAAATTAAATCTTTTTTACCCATTTGGACATGCTTTCATGTGAAAACAAGAAATCTTGTTCTTGGCAGTTGAGTAAACATCCTAAATTACTTTTTCTCCCCATTATGAAGACTAGGACATCTCCTCCTCTGGAGAAAAAGAAAGGTGGTACTGCTTTGTTACCCAAGTAGGTGCCTGTCACACTTCTCTGCCTGGTAACACTGGTCTGACCAAGGAGGTTCATGGCACAGTATGCAATTTTCTGTTTCATTGAATAAGACTGAAATTGTCTCCTGAAGTTCAGCAATGTCTTCATGATGTCAAAGTATGTTGAAAAAACCCGGCCCTCATTTTATTGGCCAGTCTAATCCCCATCTCAGACAGATTGCTGCAGATCTGACACAGAGGTGACACTTATCTGAGTGACATGGTTAATTAGGTCCCTCCAAATTTAGGGGAAATAAGACTATTCTTCCTTGTGAGATGGGGTAGAACCTTCTTGAATTCATGCCCTGTTAAAGTCTTAAGAGTTGGAGCTCTGTTCTTTAAGATCTGCTGCCATTACTTCTTGTTAGCTGACACCAAATGGCACCAGGCATCTACTTGTTTTGGAGTGTACTTCAATGGCATGAGGCTTCAGCTAAAACTGGCACCAATCCCTAAGTAATAGCTCTGTGTCACAAGGACCAGTCGGTGTGACCTTTGGGACTGCATGACCTGAGTACCTGTGTAGGCTCTGTAATTCTTCGAGCTCAAGGTTGGCTTTATCAGTTGCATCAATAAATGAAGCTGCAGTCAAATGTCCAGATCGAAAAGGTCCAAGTACCCATTTTGAATATTAGCAGTGAAGGCATAACAGGAAACAAAGAAAAACCTCCGAAAAGACGTCTTAGAAAACTTACATCTGTGACACAGAGCATTGCCAAAGGAAACAGAGAAGACATCCCCACGTGCCATCTCACTGCTACAAACATTTAGAAGGAACTAAGGAACAAGACTTTCATGCCCCCATAGGTGCTTACATATGTAGGTGGTGTATGTGTAGCTCTGATCAACAATATTATTTTAAAAGATCTCACTCTTGTTCAAGTTATGTGTGTATCAAAAATGAAACTAATGTGACCTTAAGGCATCCAAAGCCAAAAAGCTAAGAGGGAATGGAGAGAAATGGATGACAAATTTGCCATGTTATTTATGGATGAAAAGTTAAGCAAAAGCTAGACATTAAAGGCCTAGTAACTATGCAAAATGAATGTTTTTCTCGAATCTTGAAAGCCCTGTGCAAAGAGCACAAAATTCCAGTAAATCCTGGACAGAATCTCCTAGTTAAGAATTACATTAGAAATGTAAATTCTAAAAGGGTTCCTGATGCTGTATTCTCTCAGAGTTTAACTGTAGAGAATAAAAAGGCAGTAAACAATTGCAACAGCACTATTTGATACAAACCTGTACTGTGTATGTCTGTGGGGCAAGAACTAGGAAAAGAATTCTGAAAAGGCATAGTTGAGAAAGAGGGATGTGCTCTATCTTGAAGAAAGGCCTCAGAGAGCTTTCCAGAGCAAAAACGTTTAGAGAGTGGCATGTCTCATAGTCAAATCTGAAAATATTAAGGAGGCAAAATAATCTGGTCTAAAAGAAAACACTGCTGTGGCTGAATTCTGATAAGCTGGACCTTAAACTTATATGGCCAAAAAGCATCTCAGATAAATACTTGCTGACAACGAGTACCTGGGAGTCAGCTGGATACTTTCTCAATTCCGTACTTTTCTGTAAAAAAACTTTTTTCTAATTTTATCCTCGAGAATTCAACCTTTTCCTCTGCTGGAATTCAGGTAAACCCTTCAACCAAGGTTACAAAGTTGGAAATTACTTATTTAAGTTTTGTATTGCCACAGTTATCTATAAATCTGTTACAGTATTATTGAGCAATCCTGACCGAATCAGTCAGGTGTGCTGGTTCTACTATCAGACACAGTGTCAGGGCTGCATTTTGTTTCTGTTGCTGGTTTTGTGTTTATTTTTCTTTTAAAGCTTATCTTTGAGATAAACAAGCAAACTGGTTATCACCTAGAGTCCAAAGTAACATTAATTAACCAAATATAACCGAGAGAAATGATAACATGAAAACATTCACTGTTATCACGTGAAACTTTAATTTTGCGTTATGTCCCATGATTTCATTAGTAACATGTTGCATATTAAACATCTTAATATACTGTTCCTCCTACAACAAATACCATGGGACTATATAAAAAATGTCAGACTTATGATGCATTTAAAATGTTGCTTTAAATACAGGATTTTTGTGCCACTTTTCATTTAACTGGGAAATAGACACTTCAAAAAACACTGCAATTAGAGAGTTCTTTTCTTTTAAATGTATATTTCTATCTCGGTGCATTTCAAATTCTTGGAGTATAAAACATTTTAATAATGTGCAAATAATCTTGTAAAAATTGAACTTCATGATAGAGAAACATAGGAAATAGCTGCAGATAACAAAAGTAATTTTCTCTTTAATGCTCAAAGTACTTGTCTTAGTCCAACTAAAAGAAGCTACACTGTTTTGCAATGCCCTTGAACAGATTAAGATTCTAAAAGCCAGTCTCTTTTGTTTAAAACCAGAAAATTAATAATTTCCTGTATGATTTAATCAATGCATACCAGTATCTTCTTTTGCAAGACATTATTATCTAAAAATAACAAACCTAGTACACCATAGAGCTATTTTCAGATATGTAGATATATACTAAGTATGAGATTGTATTATAAATTCCAAAGGAAGTGTGCTTTACAGATTTTAATGATTTTTTAGACTGCACTTGATGTAATGGAAATTCAGAACTGATGCCTACATTAACAGGATATTACAGGTAATGTGCAAGTTCAAAGGCTGCAGAAGATTCTTGAAATTGCTTTATTCTTTGGATAAATCTTAGATTGATTTTAACAGACCTGTACCTGTGATATCAGTGAAGACTATTTCACACAGTACTGCTACTCAGGTATTGTTATATACTGATGGCTATAAGGCAATGTTTTAACCTTTATCTAGTTTGCCACAGAATTTTTCTATAAAAGTAATTCATTACTAATCTAGAGAAATGCAGAAATACTTCAAAATTAATAAGAAAAAATAAAAGACCCTGTCCCCACTAAAGATCTTCTAGAATTCAGAGATTAAACCATGTGGTTAACAGAAACAAAAAAAAAGTAAACAGTCCCCACCCCAGACCTTGATATTGCTTCCTAGACTTTCTGTTAGTTAACACCCAAGTGAGAGTAATGGGTGCAAAAATGAAGAAATGACTGCCAAGAAAACTTCAAAGTTTTGCTTCAATATTGTTTTAGTGAAGTAATTCTGGAAAACAGAGGGAAAATTTGAATTATTAATTTCTAAAGAAACTCAAAGCCAAAACTTTGAGATCTGACAATGCTCTACCAGCTTAATATCTACCAATGGAAAAAAACCCAAACACACAACCTAAGGTGAAATCTAAAGCTGAAGTTATTTAAAGGCAAAAAGGGGAGTACAAATATATTCTACAATTAGTTCAGCAATGCTGGTGGTTCTGGAATACCTGACTGTGAACAGCAGTTGGAGAATTACCACACACCTGGTTTTTCTGAGCTCTCATGACATCAACTTCATACTCAGCGTACTGTATATCCTGTGCAGGGTCCTTGGTATCTTGTAAATCACAGGAACTCTAAAAGAAGAAAAGACAACAACCCAAATGATAGACTTTATCTTCTGTTCTTTTAATAAGAAAATGCCACACTGTAGACCTAATGGAAGTATTTGCTTTTAATATATATTAAAAGCATTTATGGACGAATTTTGTGCTATAGGATACAGATTAGTTAAAAGAGCTCTTCTATTAGTAAAATGATGAGAAAATAATAGTGCAGCTAGATCTTAAAGGAAAGAAAATATACTTATTTGGTAGTTGTTTATTACTTTTGAACCTCAAAATGAAAATATCTTTTCTGGCCCATGACATTTGGGCATAGTTGAGGTTGCTCTTGCTAAAGTACTTAATATTCATGAATAGAACTTTGTTCTGGTTATCAGAAGCCTTATGTCAATAGCTGAGAAATTGATTACTGTCTTTTTGCCAAATATCTGAATTTTCATTTACTAACCTTGAGGCAACTATAATACCAAAGAAGCAAATACACTAATAGAAAGAAACACTATCTAATCTATCAAATAAAGAGGGGGTTTTTTTAAATGTTGTCCTGCACATTTCTCCTTATTTATAACAAATGGAAAATAGCAAGAAGGCAATCATAAAATAAAGCAGAATTATACTTCTTAGATGAGGTAATGGACAAAGAAATTTCCAATGCATAAAAACAGCTTTGATGTTTCAAGCATACTTTGGAACCAAACCAGAAGACTGGGAATCTATTTGGCAAATCTTTAAATCTTTAATTAGACTGACACACCCAATGAACACTGATGGAACTTGCAAGGTGAGAAGTGTATTCATTTCTCCAGCTGTTTCAGGAGGAGTTCAGATATTACTGGGGGAGAATAGATGTTTGTTTACTGTGTTTTTAAAGGCTATGAGGAAAAACAACGTGAACAATAACTGTTCTGTATAGTTTCCGAAAAGTAAAGTTTAGTCTTTATCTTGTTTGGGCATCTTATACGGAGAATGGCATCTTTCCTAACTACTAAATATAGGGAGCTGATTGAAGATGTAGAAGCTCTTAATCAAAGGATCACTGCATACAAATCTGTATATTTTAAAAATGTATTAATTAAAGGGAACTGCTGAGTGAGACTGAAATTCCAGTCACTGGACTCGAAAGACAAAAAAATCATTAGGGATATTACTACTATTCTGTAAAAAAAGCAGCTGTGCATCTGGCATGTAATAAATACCTACCTTGGGAGGAAATGTTTTCTCAAATACTTTTTTCCACAGTTCCAAAGGTGTGTTTGCACGCATCTTTCCAATATCACTATCCGAGGCAGGTGGTGGTCCTAAGGATTCCAGCACAATGTAAGACAAGTATGTTGTCATAACAGCATAAAATATAAAATAATTTTGCATAATGATCCATCTAATTTAGTATTTTATCTTCTACAGTGACAAGATGCAACAAATTTGAAAAAAAACCACATTGATCTCCTACCATGAAATGGGCTGAGAGGCATCGTATATTGTATTTTCTTTTAGATCTAAGCTTAGTGGTACTTTAGTATTTGACGTACTACTGATACTTTATTAAGCTACCTAAAAAAACTGTACAAATAATTCTCAATAATATACTGAATCATGATTTTAAAATTTATAAGCCATTTCCTTCAATAACTGATAATGATGTGCTATGATTAATTTATCTGCTTAAAATGTTTTTCTCATTTTCAAAACAATTAAGCAACAAAGACAATGAACAGGGAATATCCTAACCTATTTGGCTCAGCGAATCCAGGCCTGCCGGTATAAACAGAGGTTTGCTGGGATCCACTGATACAGATTTGCTAAACAGAAAAAAAGGAAGTGTATCAAGTGAGCATTTAGCAATCAATGAAAAATTACATTATTCTAGCCAAGACTAGAGTCTTACTGGGCTTTGCATACAAATACGTGTAAATAAAAAAGTACTCAATTCCAGTGGTAACCAATTCATCGCTTTGGGGATCGCAAACAAAGGAGTAATCACTGTCCTGTGCAAACACAGGCAGTTGAGTAACAGGACTCCAAGTCCATGGACAAGAACATTTCAGAGATCATATTTAAGAAAAAAAAAGTTTTGATGATTAAAATATTTTTATTAAGTAATTTTAGACTCTAGGCAAGACATTGAATAGTTGAACAATAATGTTACCTTTTATCATAGCCAAATGCCAAGTGATTAATAAGAACACGGGCTTTCAGCAGCAGAGCCTCAGATTTACTGGTAAACTAAATGAATCAGAAAACAAAATACACATTATAACCTTCCATCATAGAAATATTAAATTATGCCATCTACGGAGAGGATGGAGCCTTGCTAATTCCTGACCTCAATAAATTTGGTATATGTTCACTGAATTTACTCATTTTAGAATCTCACCCTCCCTTTCCAAAATATGAGTGTATTTGTTACTGAATATATTGATCAAGAAAGATTAAATGAACAATAGTATAAAGATTAAAGACTGAATTTTAAATTCCTGATTCAAAATCTTTTGTCCAAGACTAATGAGTTATTAAGATTTTAAATTAGATTAAAAACTATCCAGAATACCATAAACATTTAGAAAGGTAATGAATAACTATATAATTGTTCTCACATCATAAAAGCAGCTTCAAAGTGGCAGAATGGCACAGATTTATCAGAAAGCAGTTCTCAGAATATATTCCCAAACAACATGCTTATTCCCGTCTAAGGGCTCTTGTATCCTAATAGATTCATGTCTTTGGGAAAGAAGTCAGATCTCTACTGTGGAAAATTAATTTTCTCCCATTCATTTCAATGAGAATCAGGATTTCGCAACCAAAGAGTTTTAGGATTCTAGTTTTTATTTAATTACAGTAATGCTTAAATACTTTAAAAAAATAATCAAGACAGTTATATTCTCAGTTAACAACAGACAAATTCGTGTGTTTACATGGATGCAAAAGGATGTGCTGTGATTATAAGAATTTAAAGCAAGCATAAGTTGTTTTGCTAATCACTAAGCTACTATTAAATATGATTTATTTCATAAATGACAGTTGATACAATTAGACCCATCTTCTGATGCAGAGTGGGCCCAGGAGGCAGCGTTTTTGGACTGTGAATCTCAGCATGCATGTTTCTGCCTTAACAATCACTTTTGCCCATCCTCCTTTCGTGTACCAAAAATAAATTTGCCAAATACACAGTAAACTCAAGACAGTAACTAAGTTGGCTAACAGATAACTATTAGCTTGTATATGTGTAGCTTGTTTATTCACAAAGCATGTCCATCCATCCCCTGTCAATAGCTGTACCTCATTAACAGGTAGCCTTACGAAGAAAGCTACTGTAAAACCAATTAAATCCCATTTGCTCTGGAAGTTTTACATTTGTATTTTTTTAAACATTGTTTTAGAACAGAAATACTGTTCATTTTCTCTATGCTTAAATAGAAAGTGAATATACACACCACTAATGATGCTCCATAATAATGTGAAACAAATCGAAGTGTCTTGCTTATTATTTTCCTCATTTCAGAGTCAAACTCCTGAAAAAGTTGATATTGGAACATATATGTAAGAAACAAACCCCAAAATATTACAGTTAGAACTTTTCTTTTTTTTTTTTTTGTATAAACTGCAAAGCATTTAGTCTACAATATATGAGGCTTTCAGCTGTCAGCATAATTATATCTTAAGACAGAATCAGTAACAGCCTACTCTGAAAAGAAATGTCACAATTTCCCTTTGTTTCTTTTTTACAGAGGGAGCCTAATTCAGGCGATACGTTAGTCCAGAAAAAGTTTCTTAATTGGGAATGTGTATACAATTTTCAGTTACTTTGATTTTGCTTTAAATTTTTAGAAGTAGAAATGCTGCCTACTGTAAGAATAAGGATTTTTTCTTTTTGTGAAAATATTTAAGTAAATCTTTGGGTATATGCTCTCTGGCACCTGCCAGACTTGAAAGGTGCATAAAAATATCTTTTCATCAATGTTTCTTTAATATAAGATCATACAGATGGCCTTCTCTGGATAAAGTGGGTGAAAACATGGTCCAAATGAAGCCTGCAGGAGTCTGTCCATAGACCCCAAAGGAACTAGGTTTTTAAGTTGTGCTTATTACATGAGAATCACTGACTTTTAAAGAGGTCATGGCTCAGCATAAAGCTTTGGTATGAGACAAGGCAAGTCCCTTATTAATAAAGAATTAAGTAACTCCAAGAGTCAGCCAGGTATCAGTGCACTATGCAGTCATCCAGAGAAGCGCAGGCTGCCAGCATGACTCCTGAAAATCCAACATACTCTCCTAGCTTCTCACAATCAAGTGCTGTGAGTATGCATTTGTTTGGATTTTTTACATTCTGGGAGAGAATCCAGCAGTACTGTGACATTTTTTTCCTCTCCCCCATAAAAGATGAAATTACTTACTCCCTTGTCTCTAAAAGCTTAAAAAGTACTTTAAAAGAAGTTCCAGACCAAAATGATAGTTTACTGTTTGTGCTGCCACAATGAGCAAAAGATCTGATCAGCTGACTTGAGAGACACCCCTCTTTCACTGCCATATACTTAGAGGTGCTGTGAGAAGGGACAAATGGAGCTGGATTTCTCTCATTACAAAAGTAAGTCATCAACATGCTGTTTTCTTGCTTCCCTCTTTGGTCTGCAGCCACTTGTGTCTCAACATTTTCCAAGTACATCTCAAAAATCATCAGTTTGGGGGTGTTTTGTGAAGGAATGACAGTATGCCTTCCTTAATCCTCTTGGATGGAAATATTTTTTTTTGTGGTAGAACACTGACTGGCCATACTTTTATTCAAAAGATTACTATTATCTTAGTGAAATTTTAGGGTATAAAATATGTACTGGGAATATTTTAATTATTTAAAATGTATTTAAGTATTACTTACGTGAAAAATATCATATTTGCTTCCAATTATCACCAAGGGTATTGGAAAAGGGTCAACTAACTCATAATCCTATTAAAAATATATAGGACAGTTAAGCAGTGTAAACAAACTGAAGAAGATTACAACTGTTAAAACAACTGAAATGGGTTAAAATTAATTCACAGAAGACCAGGTTTTAAAACCCTAAAGTTGATGAATAAACTTTAATGCAATATCCATACCATGTTCTACAATTTTCCCATTTTCTTCATAAATGGTCAGGAAATAATCCTTGTGAGCAGTCAGAACTCTTACTGGCATAAAAGGGCTCTTACACTATATACTCTAGCTCCAACGTTAGATGGGAAGGGAAGAGAGGAAAAACTTCATGAATTCCAGCCAGACTGGATTACTAGAAATGGCTTTTTGACACATTCCTTGCATAATATATAAAGGAATACAGACAAAATCTCAAGAAAAATAAGTGGAATGATTTGCATGTGTCGCACATTTTTCCGTCCTACATCATGTTTTGAAAACTCTTAAAAAATATTTAATGTTTTCCTGTAGTCCATATGAAGTGAGATAATCCCCTCATGTGTTCATGCAATTATTTATTCAAGCTGCTTTGGTTGCAGCAGAGTGGAAAAGAGATGTGTTGTAGCAGAGGTTGGCCTGTTATCTTCTAAAACCAGTTATTTTGCATACAGGTTAAATGACAGTCAGGATGTTGAAAAGAAGCTGAACATATTGAAAATCCTCTTCTTGGAGAGGGAAAATAATGGCTTCACTCATACACTGTGAAGGCAAGAGCTTTGAGCAAAATTATTGTAACTTAAAACTGAGTATATAGAATACAGAACTGAAAAGAATAGTTTTAGTTTCTTAACTAAATGGAGAAATTGAGATAATGTCAGAAACATTAAAACAAGCATCTTTTGACTGTGGAATTAATTTTTGACTATGGAGTACTCTAGGTACATCCAGCCTGTTTAAACAAAGTATGCAACTGATATGTTTTATCATTGTAGCCAGTAATTCTTCAGCCAAGCCAATGGAATATATCTAATCCTTAAAAATATAATCTAAGAATTTCATTGATTCCCATTTATCATAAAAATATGTTTAGCTATAAAAAGGCAAATAAAAACCTGCATAAACTGTCATTTAATGTGACTATAAAACTCAGTATTTTCTCCCAGAAAACTGACACAATTTTTCCTTGAACAATGATGAAAGTAAAAAGAGAACCAAGGAGTAACATAAAATTTTATTTGCATTGTTTTTGATAGTGAAAGATAAATAGAAATTCTAGTTTAGAAGGTATAATTGTGTTCCCTACAGGGCAAGAATAACAATTCTCTTCTTAACAATCAATGGCATTATTATTTTTACTTTATTTCAATAAGCTTGCAGTTTTCTGAGATGTATACCTCTATATGTAAACTTGACACTGTAGTCATGATTTATTGCCAAATGTGGTTGTAGGTATTTTGTTTTTGTGTATTACCTTCTCTAAAAGTAAAAAACAAAATCATAATCCAGATCTCAAACCCTATACTCTAAATCTGAGTGTTGCATATGTTGCTTTCCCATAAATTTTGAGTTACTTTTAAATTTCTGGGCTTTATATGCATTTGCTGTATTAAAGCATTTTATAGAAGGTACAGTAACTAGATTTACATGCCAAGTCTTTGAATTGTTGAATACTTATTTATGCATTATATACACACAACATTTGCAGAGGTTTAATGCACAATGACTTTTCAATTCTATTGCGCATAATCTAGTTTAGCTTTTCCAGAGATTTAGTTAGCAATTATGTTTAAAGGACTGATGTTAACATTTCTGAAACTTTATAATTTAATTAGTTGTCAGATTATCAAAAGGCATTGAGTTTGTGATAGACATTTAAATAAATGCAAAGTATATAGTCATGTTGATGGCTGTTATAACTATATTCTTTGCTTAAATTTGTACCTTCAGCTAGTCTCTTGCTAGATGACTTTTGTACATTCTAGTTTTCATCTTCATTTTAAAAAGATGAGGGGGAAAAAAAAGCAAACTGCTACTCTAAAACTATTTCTTTTGATTGGTGTAACATGCCATAACAATCACATTAGATATCTAACAAAAAGATATAAGAAACCTTCTTTCCTTGTTTCTGCTCTTATTGAATTTTTATTAAATTGCTATAATTTTCCAGTGAACAGGTTCATCTACATCAAATGGATTTTCAGTCATGCATAAAAATCTAAAAGAGTTGTTTATGATTTTCAAAAGCATTATCTTTAACTGTATAAAGGCCTGTGACATCTGGAGAAAATATTAGAAGTAACTTACTGGGTGATCCCTCTGCAGATTGTTCCGCATCTTCTGTTTAAGTTCAGCAGCTACTTCAGGATTTGTCTTTTCTAGTTTGGCTAAAATTTTGTTCACATGGTTCCTGGTGACCTGCAGAAGGTTCTCCATAGTAGTCCAGAGTTCATTAGGTTTGGACAGATCCAATACAAGAACTACAGCAAAGGATCTATTAAAAAGGCATTATTTGGTCACACATTCAGTGCACGAGGCAATCAACATTTTCATATAAAACTGTACTGTACTACAAATGTGAACAAACAAATGCCAAGAGAGAATTAAATGTGACAGCAAAGGAAGATGGCTTCAAAGGATACTCTGCACTCTGAAGAAACCTCTCCCTTGTCTCTTTTTCAGAACTACTATTTTGGCAACTGCCCATCATCGTAGGGGGATTGCATGTATCAAACATTCTTTCAAAGCAGTAAAATATGCAAATATCCTCAGCCCATTTAGCTCCTTCTTCCTGTATGACCAGGCATTTATACTGTCATGTATCCTTGCCATCTCATAAACTCTACAATCCCAGATGAAGCAATGTTAGCAAATAGTTAGGATCTTTCCTAACTATTAATATATTGGAAAGTTCTCTACTTTCATTAATTTTTTGTAATATGAAAGGGAAATGAGAAATGTTTTACATCTAATCTCCTTTCCTTCCAAAACCCTGGTCCCCAAAACACTAACTGCATTGAAGTGCAACTGTAAAGAACATCACAAATGCAGTCACTTGAATGGATGCAACCATTCTGTCACATTCCAGCCTGACTTGAAAAAGGGGATTCCAGACCAGAGTGGTATTAGAAAGGTTACAAAGCAAAGTGAATGTCCAATTTCACTTTAAAATGCTGTGGGTGGGAAAAAATCTGGTGAAAAATCTCGTGATGAAACTAGGTCCAGTTCATGGAACTTTTAAATAAGCAAATTGCTTGACTACAGAGAGATGAGAAAGCCAGTGAAAAGCAGTTATACTTAAGTTGAAATGGTAGAATTTTTTTACTAACATGTTAAAGTATTGCCTTATGAACAGAGGTTCATTGTTCTTACAGAATGTTGCTATCCCACCAAAGAATCTTAAGATTATTCACGTCAGTAAAAAGGGAAGAAAAGACTGATGGAGGTGAAGATCAGTTAATTTAACTTACAAGGGCTGAAAAATGATCGTTAATTTTTTCTCTCCCAAGCTCTCTAGAAACAAAGAGCTTCACATGCCATGTTTTATTTTTATTTTTTAGTCTGTCAGCAAATAATGGCATTATTTCAGTAGTCAAAACAGTAGCAAATGTACTTGATAAAAACGGTATCCCTCCTTTTCTTTTCCCCACAGAAGTTAAAGCTCACTACCAAGGAAATAAAGCAATGCATCATAATACAAAACTTATCTTTTGATCCTTTTCTCCCCTTCCTTTAAACTCCATCTTCCCTAATCAAAACCCCCATAAAACGCACTCCCTAACCCTCTCATTTCTTCATGCAACTTTTCATGCATTTCTTCTTCCTATGCTATACTATTACTTTAATGGATTTTTCTCACTCCATTCTCTTAATTTGATCTAAATTCCTGTTTCCTTTAGTTTTCAAATAAGTTCAATAGCTCTAGTCCCTCTTGGAAACATCATCTCTCTATTACTTGATCTTCTCATTAGATGGTCATTTCCAAAACATCCAGAGATTTCTTTGGTCACAATTTTTTGCCTTGTTTTTCACCCTAAAATACTGTCCCTCACAGAAAGAGCATCTATGTTTGCATGCAGAAGTAGGAAGCAAGATTGTATTTTTCACATATCCCCAAGTTGCTTTTTCTGCTCTTTTACCGAGCATAAAGATATTATGTCTTCTCTTTTTCTGTGTGTCTTGTTCTATGTGCTTAAGGCCAACCTACTTCCTCCATGTTACCACTTTTTTTTTGTTGAGATTACTGCGAACTTGGTTTATTAGCAGAAAAGTACGAAAAGGAAGATCAAAGTATCAGTGGTACTACAGTGATTTTTAGAAAAAAATCACAAATGTTCTCTCTTACATTTTGAAAGAGATTTTCACAATAAAAGGTCTAGAGATTTACTTATGTTTGAAGGAAAGCTGAAATTAACTCTGGAATTGTAATATTTACACTCACCTTATGTTGTGGCTAGTGATTGGTATTCGAATGAGTTCCAGTAATGAGGTTCCACCACCTAGTTCCCAAAAATGAGCTATATCTTTAGGCTGTAAAAGAGTCTCTTTATGTTAGAAATGTGTGCTTCCATGCAATACCAAGGAAAAATCTTTATCTGGTAAACAGGCTTTTCATGCAAGTGACTCAGAACAAGAACACACTTCATTAGAATTTTCTAAAACCAAAACCAAATACAAAATTCCCCACGTTCAAGTAATCCCATATAACACTCAGGAAAAACTCCTGGCATGCCTATGACTATATTGATAAATGGCTATTGTAAAGTAAAAAAATAAGGAAGCAGCATGAGTATTGATAAATGTTTAAAAAAAATAAATCAGGTTCTCTTCACTTTCTTTTTGTTTATTGCAGCTCAAGACTAATGTTTTTTGAGAAGTTTGCAACTAGAAAAGTAATGAACCTGTACCTTGGATTCAGTTTCTGGGAAAAGCTTTAAGTGATTTTTATCTTTCAGAGTCAGGTTTTCCACTCCCCACTTCAGCAACTGAAACAGCAATTCCCTGCAGCAACAGTTATTGCTGCTCAGCAGTGTTGTGCTGTGGTGGGAATGGGTTCACTATTTCCATTAACATAATCTGCAGTGCAAAGTTTAGTGATGTGGAGACATAACCCAAAAACTTAATTATTATTTAACATCCTCTAAGATGACTGTTTCTCTCACATCATTGGTTTGTACTCATTTTGCATGTTAAAGACAAAGCTAAAGGCATGCATACTATGTTGCAATGGGAAAATAAAAGCACTCAAACACAAGTTTTTATAGATGAATTTGATTGCTTTGTGTTATAATTTGGTCTCTGATCTACTGTGTTTTAGTGAGGGGGAAAAAACATATTACTGATTAAAATACAGAATTAAACTAGCTAAATAAAATGATATTAAACTCCTTTTTGTTTCACAGACAATAAGCTAAAACCTCTAAGATACTTTTATATAAAAATAAAACATACTATTTTTATGCATATGTATATATATATGTATGTATATATGGTAAATTATACTTTCTGAATACTTACTGTATTGTGCCTCCTTGCCCTTCTTCCAAAAGTATATTCCAAGGCTAATGTTGGCTTTGGAGTCTCTTCCCTATGCAAGGAAAAATAACTTCATTTTGTCAAGATCCTCTAAATAAAGGAAGTTAATTCTACAGTTACCAAATTACATTTATCAGTTAGTTTAGGATGTGGCTTAGAGACAGCTGTACAGCGAGGACACTTCAGGACACAAGCTCTCAGGTACTGAAGACAGGAGAAGCAGCAGCACCAATCTGAAGAGATGGGCCATTTCAGCTCTCTAATACTGGAGGAGAACGACTGAAAGGGTCAGATGACAGGTAGTAAAGAAGGGAAATAAACTCATTCATAAGTGACCAACCAGCTACAGAACACATCTGTATGCATACATTAGGAATTATCACACAATATAACTGCTATGTAAAATTCTAATCTACAGGTGAAAACTGCTTTTAAATATTTGACACATACCTCTCAAGACACCTCAATATAATAGTGGTCTTTCCCTGGAAATTAAAAGCAAAGAAGAACGCTACTGTACTATCAGTAAAGCATAGAAGTTGTATCACTAAATCAAGTTATTTAACATTCCAGTAATAAAGTACCAGAAAATTGCAAATGCATGTAATTGTCTGTAGCCTTATAGTGGAAACTTAACTCCAACTTTCAGTCAGAATCAAATTATACTACCATTATTATAATTATAAACTAATAGAGATGACAAATACAGTAATAGGAACAGTGTACTTAAAATTAGACACTAGTGATCAGTTTGACCAACTCTTTTAAACTGTTTAACAGTTTTTAATTATAAATAACATATTTATGTAATGTGTGATTTCCACTGGAATTAATGATTACTGATGAGATGGAAAAAAAAGACTGCTTAAAATACAAATAAAGAACAGAAAAATACGTCTTTACTTTGTTAAAATTCAGACGCTGACTACCACGCCACACTGAAGGGGCTAGCACTTCTACAGTTAACTCCTGTGCCACTTTCCATCTCAAAAATCAGTGAATTCCGGGTAAATATGAAAAATCATTGTATTTTCTCTGAAAAAGGTATTTTAAAAATTGCTGACTAAGAGATTGCACATATACCAGGCCTTCTTAAAAAATATGACTCAGTTCATCAAAAAGGCAGATATTTCTTGGCTAACTTTACAAACAAATGCTAACAGAAGAACCAACTTATTGGGCACTTACGGGACAATGAGTTAAAACAACCTCAGGTATATGGAATCCTGAGTTTGCAATCAGTGATACAGCATGTTCAAATAGGTCTGACATAATACAGACACAATTCATTGTGGCATATCAAGGCCTTGATCTACAACAAATCTGGTATCAATGCACTTAAATTGGATTGTTACCAGTTAAACGTTTACAAGGGAAAACAATTAAAGAGGGTAGCATTAATTTTGGCAGTTACTTTAAAAAAATAATGAAGCCAAACCTCAAAGAATCAGCACATCATTGATAATCCTAACCATAAATTTGAATTCACACTGTGTGGAATGCCCACTCTTTGCAGAATGAGACCATGACATATTCTGTCTTTAAAGTTAAGTCAACCTTAACATCTGAAAATACCAGATATTTTCCCTGACACAAACTATGTTTGAAAGGTGTATGATTGTACAGTATTTAGCATTACCCCATTTTTGTTTCCCATAAATAATATCGATTTTTCCCAAACTTCCCCCTGCTTGACATCATCATCAGGGTTTTCTCTCTTCTCCACTTCAGCTATAGCAAGATCCCACAAAGTATCACTAGTTGGAAAAAAAAATAAGAGGAGAATAATTAGAGAAAAACCATGGACCATAATTCCTGAAAATATCTAAATGAAGGTTATTGTGGTGTATATTATTATTGTGATTATTTCACATCACATGCCCTCTGCTTGTCGCAGCACTTTTAACCAAACAGGGTTAAGTAACATTCCTCAGGTAACCCCAGCTGCCATTTGTGGCACACACAGAGCAAACACCAGCTCTGCGGCGGGAGGCTTTGAGTACTTTTAATCACAGAATCAATTAGCTTGAAATAGAACTCTGAGATTGAGTCCAACCTGTGTTCGAACACCACCCTGTCAACTAGACTATGGCACTAAGTGCCGCGCCCAGACTTTCCTTAAACACCTCCAGGGACGGTCACTCCACCACCTTCCTGGGCAGCCCATTCCGGTATCTGACACCTTTAAAAGGTTTTCTATCGACTCAGGCTTTCCGCGGGACCTGCAGCCTCTGGAGGCGGCAGCTCCCCGACGCCGGCCCCGGAGGAGCCGGGCACGGCTCGGTGGGCTCGGGAGGGCTCCGGACCCGCGCTCGGTGTCCCGGGAAGCTGCTGCTCGGGGCCACGAAGGCTCCCCGTTCTCAGGCTCACCCATGGTCACCTGCGGATCCCTTCTATGTGGGGTCCCTTACAGCGGCAACCGGCCAGGGGCCGGGCGTGCCGTCTCCTGCCCCGAGCCCCGCTCGCTTTCGGGGCAGAGGCCGGAACGGCCCGTTTTAAGCCCGCCTCCCTCCTTCCCTCTCTCCGTCCCTCCCTCTCTCTCTGTTCCAGGCTGTGCTCCCCGGCCTCTGGCTCCTTCTCCCCACGGCAGCGGGAGCGACCCCCCGACACCGAGCCCGGGCAGGGCTCCCCAGTACCTGGGCTTGGGCATCGCTCGGCGGGGCGCGGGCCCGGCTCCCCGTGTCCATGGGAACCGCGCCGGGAGCGCCGGGAGCTGTAGTTCCGCGGGGACGGGGCAGCTCCCGCCCCGCCTCCGGCCCGGCCCCGGCGCTGTGCTCGCCCCGGCTGCTTCTGTCTGCAGGGTTCCCTCGCCTCTCCGCCGGACCCAGGGTGAGCGCCGGGTCCTCAGGAAGCTTCGACTGTAGCATTTCTTGTGAAGGGGCAAAATACTCCAGCTATGGAGGAAACCAGGGATGAGTAAACAAGTCATAAATGAGTCTTATCTGACTTCAGCCTTAAGCACTGGCTCTTGATGAACTATTCATGGTCCCTAACTGAGATTTGTTAGCAGTGGAGGGAACGAAACGAGACCTGAGTAGTTCCCTTATACAGAACTGCTGTATAAGAAAGTGTATTTATGTTAGAATAATTATTGTGTAATTATTTTATTGTCCAGCGGAGGGCAGCGAGGGTGATTGGGAGACTGGAGCATCTCACTTAACTAGGGAGAGCTGGGCCTGTTCAGCCTCCAGAAGAGACGATTGAGATGGGACCCCATCAATGTCTGTAAGTATATGAAGTGGGAGTGCCAAAGGATGAAACCAAGCCCTTCTCGGTGCTGCTGAACAGTAGGACATGAGGCAATGGGCAGAAACAGATGCATAGGAGTATAGGGAAGATCCATCGGAGTATGAGGAAGAACTTCTTTACTGTGCAACTCACCGTGCACTGGAACAGATTGCCCACAGAGATTGTGGAGTCTCCCTCTCTGGGGATATTCAACAACTGTCTGGATGCAATCCTGTGCCATATGCTCCAGGATGACCCTGCTTGAGCAGGAAGGTTGGACCAGATGACCCACTGTGGTCCCTTCCAACCCTAGCCATTCTGGGATTCTGTGATTTTGTAGTTACTGGGGCATACAAAGTAAGATGCTGTAACAAACAGGGACTAGATTATTTCAAGCAAGATCTATCAAAAATCAAGTCCAAAGATCATGTTAGGCTTGGATCAGAAAGTAGCATTTAAAGGGTGCAGTAAAACAGCAGGATGACTCTGAATATGAAAGAGGTATAGGATGTCCTACATCAGGGAAGTGACCCCAAAATCCAGGACAACAATTACAGCTACCTTCTGTAGCTGAGTAGCTGCTTTGTGTCTTGAGAGAGTGGAGACAGAAAAACATAAATGAAATAATTTGATCTGTTTGATCAATGCAAGGAAAGTGGACTCATTCATACTGATTAACACAGATTTAATTTTAACTGTTCCTTCTTCCCTACCCAAAGAAGGCTGATGTAGCCTTCTACTGACCTAAGTAAAGCCCATTCTTTACATAAGATTTTTTTTCCTAAATTTAGCTTGCATAATCACTCAGTTTCGGTTCCAGAAGCATTTGTATGGCTGCTTTTGTCTGGTTTTATTTACTTCCAGGTTTTTACATGCATCTTCTAAAGAATTTGCTAGCCTCCTATGGAAATCACCGTCTTGCTAATTAAAATCCAGAAACTTCATTGGTCAACGTTGTACAGTGCAGGTCATGCTGATGCCTTTCTAAGTGCATTTCTTTCATCAATTTCAGTTCAACAGAACACTTCTGGTATCTTGGTATATATATGAAGCCAATGCTGATCTATAATCAGCAGCTAGATGTAGCAAAAACCCTGGACAAAGCTGGTCTTGCTCTGCCAAAGATAGCAAAACTATGGTAGGAATCACTCCTGGCACTATAACCTAGGCAGGTGTTACTGCAATAGCAAGAGTATAAAATTAAAAAGCAAAGTATTTTTGCAGTGATTTACTCACTGATAGAGATGGCAAATCTGCAAGATGCTGCAGTACAGATTTGAGCTGGGAAGCACAGAGCAAGGGTGTACAGTTATTAAGTGTACTGAAGCCCAAATTAAATTAGAAACTGTAAAAAAACCAGGAAAAAAACTCAAAAAACTTCTTCCTAATTCATTATTACTGAGTTACTAATCACCTTAGTTAAAGTTAACTCAAACTAATGGATTGCACTACACTGTATGGACTATTAAAGCTGTACCTAAAGCTTTAAGGGCTGAATTCCTTTATGCAAGAATGACTTCTTTCCTTCAGGAAAAATTAAAACCTATAAAAACTGTGGTAGTCTGACAAGGGATTCCAACAGCAACACCAGCCTTCTGTTATAGGGAAATATAGGCTTCTATTTGAAAAAAAAACTTAAATCCAAAATAACAAAGAACAATAATGTTGTGGATTGTATTAAAAACTCAAAGTTTTATCATTTGCCTGCTGTACTACAGGCGTTTTAGAAATGAGCAGTTCTCTTACACTGCTGCTCAAAATTGAGAAGGCAAAGTGAAGTTCAAGTAGTATATTAATTTACACTGAATTCTAAATATTAACTTCTGACTGCTAGTTCAAAGCAAGCACAAAAGGTGTTCTTAAATTCATGACAGAAGGTGAAGTCTCCTTGCATGTGGTAACATATTAATCTCACCATGACAATATTTTTAAAACCTAGGTTCTGCAAGCCTTGAGAATGGGAAGTTCTTCAGCATCAGTCCCAGAAGTCCCTGCTCATTTGGCAGCTCCCATAGTATCAGCACTGCTGAAGATTAGGAGGTGAGAAAGGTCTAGTTCCTACCTGGGCTTTAGGCATGGGTTAGGTAGCACAGTATGAATTGTTCTGGTAGAGGCTCAAGGTTAAGACTGAGATGTGGATTAGTCATAAGGCTTGGGCTGGGTGGGGAAGGCAGATTATCTGCCTGGGCTCTGGAATTTTCAATTTAGCTGTCTTGTGTTGTGTGGTAGCTCTGGAGCTCGATTAATATGGAGCAAGTCCTCTGAGATATGCATATCTGTGTTTGGAAATGTACCTGCATGTGTAAGAGACTCCACTTGCTGATTCTGTGAAGGGAAGTGTCTGCTTGAGGTTACTATCACTACAGAAACCTCACTCTTGCTAATCAAAATCCTGGAAGAAGCTCCATTGTTTAAGGTAGTGTTGTGACGGTAACTGTGATTCTGAGTGCATTTATTTCATAAAAATTAACACAGCATTTCTGCTAATGTGGCTGTATGGGATTAATGGTGACCTAAAATGAGCAGTTAGTAGTAGTAAGTCTGGAAAGTGCTGCCATAAAAAGGGAAACTAATGCATGAATTGTTTCTGCAGCAGCGAGACCTGAACACTAAAAAGCAAAGCAGTGTCTAGAGTTACCTATCCAGAGGGAGGCAGGAAGGTCATACTCTGCTTCATAGATTGTATGCTGCTTTATAAAACAACTGTTTGTAAGGCTCTGATAATGAAAGCTGTTTAAAAAACTCGATTCTGCAGATCAGCTGTTTGTATTGTATATCATGTTGTCTCCAAGTTTAACAAAGATTTTAAAAACTATATGATAAACTCACTACCAAAATGCTCCACTTTTTTTGCCTTCTAATAACAGAACCACAATCATTTGAAACTGGACAACTAGGAAAGAATTACTAGTTGGAGTGTTCTAGGTTATCATAATTTCACAATGACATGAAGGCTTTTGTGTTTGTAAACTGAAGTTTCTAGTCATCATATTTGAGACACTTTAGTAGCATCTGTTTGAATTTGTAAACACCCTGCCAACCTCAAATCTGGAATGTAACTATTCTGCTGATTGCAAAGGGGTGTTAATTCCTAAATGAATTTCACCATGCTATCACTTCACATAGGGTGCAACACAAAAAGATGATGCTGTTGGTGCCAAGGTCTCCTGTAGCTCCCAATATGCTTCCCTTGAGGGTGGCAGGAGACTGGCTGCCTATGAGGAGGTAAACCTCCTGCTGCTGGCCCTTCCTCAGTCAAAGAGAAGGGTCTAGTGCCACAACTACCACCAAGGGATGGAAGTTACCAGGAAGTTCTTTCCACCTTGCAAATGTGAAAGCATCTAGATAAGTAGGTGTGTTATTTCGTTGTAATTTTCAAGACAAAGCGTTGGCCCACGGTACCATTCATGGAGTGGTGTCTGAGCCCTGTGGACTGAAGTAGCTGTGGCAAGAACTTCAAAAGCTTTCTGAAGAAATGTATTTATCAAGTCAGCTTGCCTGTTTGCCTTTCCACTTAAGACCATGTTCTCTTCATGGCCTGTATCTCCCTTCCAGTCTGTTTTAATTCTTTGGGAGGATACTCCCTACCTTTCACAGAGGGCAAACAGCTGGAAATTCCTTTTCTCTCACTATGAGTATGTATATATCTGAAATGTTTAAATATCATAAACCAGAGATTTTCAATTGTGAAATTACTCCAGTTTTAAGTAATAATAATTAAAAAAACAAACAAAAAATGAGGGCTGGCAATAAGGGATTAATGATCCATGATTATTAGCATGAGCAGAAGTGGAAACTGTAAAATCTATATAAATCAGTGATTTATGTTGAATACCTTCTTTATGGCTGAACCTAAATTATCTATTGGATTATGCTGCTGATCCATTTCAGAGCCTGTAGAAGTAGTTTATTTGCATGGAAATGAAAATGAGAGGACAGGAAGGAAAAAAACCCTGGGTGTAATTTCTATACATTTGACCCTATGTAGCACTGAGGCTTGCAGCTGAAAAAGACAACTGGAAAGTGCTCCCAGGTCCAATAGTGCAGATGCAGCATTATGTCTTCAGTGTGCAAGAACATTATATTTGTATTATAATATGAAATGTATAAATACAAATTAAAAACAAAACCCATGACTTTTACAAAATAATATTATGACTCAATGTATATACATTAAACATATTATACATGGATTTTATATGTCTCCAAGTTTACTCACAACAGTTCGAGCAATGGTTTTCTGTGTTATTCTTGTGTTTTGAATTGTGAGTCATTCTTGCCATCTGCATTATATTATTATTCTGGATTAAAGAAATTAGGTACAGTTTAACAAAACTATACTAAAAAACAGTGCCCTTACAATTTAGATTTTTTCAAAAGGCTGGAGCAGAGAGGGTTTATTTAGAAAGTGACCAGACCAAGGCTGAAGATTTGCCAAGTAAAATAGCTGTATAACAAAGCCTAGAGTGTATCATGAGAATACTCTTTCTTGTAATAGTTACACGATGTGCTTATGCTTGGGGTTTTTTTAGAGGAGAAACAATTACACACAATTCGTTCTTTTTAGTCCCATGGTCCTTGTATTGCAAATAAAAATAGTTCTGGAAGTGGAAATTGTTTTGTATTTGACTGTTCTTTTAAACAAAATTCCTTTTCAAAATGAAGGTTATACAACTGGTATAATTTTGAAAAATAGAGATGAACAGGTGAAGAGAGTTGAAGAGAGTTTGGTCCCTGAGTATATATCTGGAAAAATCTATTAAAATCTAGACAATTGTTCCCAATGCCAGGGAACAATTGTTCCCAATGCCAAGGAACAATTGTGGGCACAAGTGACCACCAGTAAAGCATAATCCCTAAAGTGGCTCATCATTCCAGTTCAGGCCAGGGCTTTAATTAAAGGGCTACTCCTGTTACATGCCTCTGAAATGAATATAAACCTGTCCACCTTTCTTTTGTTTATGGACCTGCTTATGCTCTATGTCTTGTACATCAGAAGGCTTTCTATCAGTGTAGAAACCCTCTAATGAAGATTATCATGATACATAATCCTTTCATAACAAAGTGGGACATTTAGTTGGTCTGTTGATCGCAAGAAGTGGCTGACTCCCCATTTCCTTGAGTTTCTGTCCACTTTGAGGTGCCAGTAATGCTGGAGCAGAGAGGTGATGAGCAGCTCCTTTCAGCTGATGAAAGTTGTTAATGTAGCTGGCAATCAGTAGAGTGATCTCAAGAATCTATAACAGGAACATACAAAACTCTTTGAAAAATAGTGATGTGTTTTGACTGCAGAAAAAATAGCTAACTTTTTAGCAAGTGACAATCACCATCAACTGGAAAAGTACTTGTACTTTACAAATTAATGATGGGGAGAGAGGAGATACCTAATAAAGCTTTTTTCTATTGCTCCTTGCAAATAATGTAATGTTATTCCCATCACTACATATCAAAGATACTTTGTCTCCCACAGTCTTAAATGATTCATAGAGATGGCTTCTTTCACTTTGAGAGAGATTTTGAAATCCAAAATGATGACACTCCGAGAAAAAGCTTTCACAATGTGGTCCCTCAGTTTTGCCAGAAAATCTCCAGTGCTCAGAGAAGTCAAGATGCAGGGTAGATAAAGGGAATAAAGACTTTCCAGAGCTTTTTATCCTATTTTCTCTCTGTGATCCATACAAACCTTGATGAGACACTGAGCAGGCTGCCCAGAGAAGCTGTGGATGCCCCACCCCTGGAACTGTTCAAGGCCAACTTGGATGGGGCTTTGAGCAACCTGGGCTATTGGAAGGTGTCCCTGTCCATGTTAGGAAAGGGCAGAAGTAGGTAATCTTTAAGGTTCCTTCCAACCCAAGCCATTCTGTGATTCTGTAACAGCACAATCCGAGGGAAACTTGAACAGATGTATTTTACTACACTTATTTATGAAAACACAGCTGTGTTTTGACCCCAATTTATATGTGGAATCTTGTATTCTGTTTCACAAATTGTTCTGACTAACAGCAAAATCTTTTTTTTTTTAAAGAAATACAGTCAATCTTACCAGGGAAGGAGAGACTCTAGATTTGAAAAGCATGAACATTTCTTTTTACGAAAGGTAAAAATATCCTCAGATTTTTCACAAGACTGATTTTTCAGATGGTGTGTACTACAATTTCACTGCAGAACACAAACATACTTTTAAAAAAATTATCTCTGGTGCTGATCAAGCAAACAGACTAGGTTTTAGGTACTGCATATAATTTCTGTCCTTAATACCCTTCTTTGTCCTTCTATGAAAAGTCTGCAATGTTACAGAAATGGACATGAAAAGAAACACATCAGTATTGCCACAGTTAGCTCTTACATTACTAATTATTTTGCACCTTAAAGTCATCTAACAAAAGTCAATAATCTGACAATGCTAGGATTAAAGAAGGTGTTTCATCTTTCACATCTGTTAAGGATTACCCACTAGAGATAGCACAAAAGCAGATGGTGGGAAACTGTTTCAGGTAATATACCAACCTTTGGTTTTGTCATGGCAAAAAGGTGTTTTTCAGTTGTTCTGTCCTTTGTCTGAGCATTGTTAACAACCAACATAAAATCATCTTGGTAGCCTCCGAAAGTCATCAGGCTCTTATATGAATACGTAACCGTTAATCGCTTAAAAAAGAAAATCCCCAAAACAAAACACAAAGCCATTAAGCAGGACAGTGCAAGAAAAACAGATTATGACAAATTTTTCTTTTAAAAAATATAATTACACATGTATTTTTCAATGGCGTTAGCCTCTTATGAGTCTTGAAATTAACTGAATTTTGGGATAGCTTCATTCAGACCTTCATGATGAGAAATTTTCATTGCAGTTTGACCTCTGTTTCTATTCCAAATTAATCAGATCAAAGATACAAGCGGGTTTGAACTCAGGTCTGTAATTCCATTTAAACGAGTCCTGACTGACTTTGAGAGAAGTTAATTTTAGCAATTCCATTTGAAATTGAAGCAGTGTCTAAATAAATAGCAGAGTATGAGACATCTAAAAGAATTTAATTCCAGGA